CACATAGTATTATTTCTCAAGCATACTCTGAGTTCTCTGAGATTTACAACTAAATATTGTATTTGTGTCCAAATTTACAATACTATAAGCTTTGTGTTTAAAAGATAAATGTTTACAACAACCATAAAATAAATTTTTTATACACTTATTTACTTCAATTATCAGTAATAATCTTTATTCACTACTTATGTTAGAAATACAATGTTACAAATGTTTTTCATTTTCAATGTGCGGTCGTATTTCCGCTATCACAATGTCATGTTGTGAAAGCTTTTGTACTTTGCTTGGTTTGCGTAGTTTGATTACTTATTATTAAGAATGAATAAATACCTTATTGATGTCACGAAAATTTCTTCTAGCGAAATCCCATCCCTCAGTGTGTTTTCACCAGGTGATAAGTGATCTTTTATTAGAGTCAAGATTTTATCAGAAGAGGTCACATTCATTCGAAAGTAGTAAAAAACTTATGAGGGTATTCTCTAAATTTTGGGTAGAGCAAGTGCACCCAAGGTTAATCCGTTGTCTATTACAGGGTGCGCCCACCATCTCTTTTGTCATCTTTGCCTCGCTTTCAATCTTCGATACAGTCACCAAAGACAGGTTAACTCTTCCAGCGCCACAACTGTACTGGCTGTCGTGTGTCTGGAGGGCCAAATCACACCACAACCGCAGCGGCTGCCGCTGCCATGTGTACGGTCCCAGGCAGCCGCCGCGGTCTTATACATGGCCTATCCAAAAACAGAAATAAATCGATTTGAATAACAAATTGTTATGTGTGCCAGACAAATCAAAAGCGTACCAGCTTTGCACAATCATTTCAGTGCACAGTGGTCACGTAATTTAACTTCTATTCTCCGCTTGTTCTTTGAAAAGTTAATTGCAACTAATACAATAGGCTACTGTAGAAGCAATCGCACCATACATCCCGCTTACTTTTAGGAAACAAAGTTAAAGGAAGGTAGCTGTAAATCAAATAGTATCAACTTAAGAAACTTTTTAGAAGATTTCGTTTGATTTTTTCTTAATTATATCCCTAAACGGTATAGAATGTTACTTTTTTTAGTCAAAATGAATTGAAATAATGAAATTGAAATGATTGAAATAACGAGTTTATTCCTTCAAGACAAATGAATACAAAATAATACATTCTCTTGGAACTACGTTGCCACATTATCCAGTAATCGTGGCAAACGTAAAAGAAAAAAAAATAAACAATTATATTTACAACCTATAAATACTCTAGATGGATTCAGTTTAATATAGAGTAAAGTATTCTTTCAATCTTATTGTACAGTTAACATGTTAGCGTGTTTCAGAATTCGTGTTGGATATTTTAGGGCATTGTTCCTGGGTAAGAAACAAACCCAAAAATAATATTTAAATTGACCGGAAGTCCTTAGTTGCTCACATAGCCGCAATTTTGTTTTTTCGCTTATTAATTGTTTGAAAAAAAAATTGTAAGAGATACGAAATTGAAACTTTGCAAAAACATTTATGACAACTAAGCAAAGCTACAAAAAAATTATGAATATTTTTTAAATTGTTAAAACAAAATGGCGGCCATTTAAAACTTTGTTTGAAATCAACATTGTGAAGTCCCCGAGTGTATAAAAGAAGTCTTTGCATCGTGTCATCGATGCGTTATCTTGCTGTGATGGGATCATTTTGATCAAAATGACAACTGTGACATTCATACTATAATTCCTACAATACCAGAAGACTTTACCGTTGATGGCGGAGATGACCTACACAGCCCTAAAAGCCGCCTCGAAAAAAAACAAACAGAATATAGCAAAGGCATAAAAAAATAAAGGGCAGGAATACACAAGTCCTCGCACCAAGAAAACAGTTCCTGTAAAACAAGTTAAAGACCGCTGCTTGGATAAAATTTGCAAGAAATGGGGGAAAAGAATGCCATCGAACATTCTATCTCGAATTCAATCTTTGGCAAGACATCTTTACATGTATCTTTACATGTAGGCTGTATTAAGGATCGCCAAGTTTTTAGCATAGCTACAGAGGAAAATTTTGTGGATTATATCCTCAAGGCTTCAGACATGTATTTCGGACTGTCACCGGACTGCAGAATAGGGAAAACTGGTTATTATGGCGTGTGGAATATTTCTGAGGTATCAGTGTTCCGTCATTATTGGTGTTTCCGAGAGTGCGTGTCAAACACCATTTCATTGCAAATGTACCTCCAGGAAGTGGAGAAAGTTTTAATCGATCAGGGTGGATACTGGAAGAAGACTTCCAGTTATTTTTAAAGCACTTTCAAAAATATGCTAAAAGCTCCAATGGTAATCTATGTTTACTTGAGCATTGCTGGCCTTAGCTATTCAAAAGATAATGGTATTGTTATGCTTAGTTTTCCTCCACATTGCTAGCATAAATTGCAGCCATGTGACAGGTCAATATACGGTCCAAAAAAGAAGTAGTATATTAATTCTCCTTGTTATGAGTGGTAAATCTCGAACCCAGGAAACCATTATAGTAGGGGTATGATATTCCTGCAGTGGTTGCTGGAGCACATCCTCTAGCCATGACGCCTTCAAACATTTTATCCAGCTTTAAATGCACTTGAATATACCCTTTTAATAAGGATATCTATGTGACGGACTTGCCCATCCTGCTGCTGATGAAGTTACCCAGGCTAAAGATTACACCATAACACCTTTAGTACAGCCACAAACCAAAAAAACCTTCATTTACAGGTTACAGGTACAGCGAACTGATTTGTAAATCTCCGAAATTGTCAGAAGACCTTGTTGCAGCAGCTGGAATATCAGATCGTAAGCCCTGTATTAGATCGACCCATGATGTAGCCTAGGATAAAACACATTCAAGAAGTAGTTCCAACCTCTTTTAATAGTTTTAAATCTTACGAAGTACGGGTACTCTGCTAGTAATTAATGATTAAACCGGGTGTCCACAAAGTCTTGGTCTGATTTTTTTAGGACATAGCAATAGTGGGGTACGCGGGGAATGCGGGGACCAATCAGAATGCGCCATTTCAATCCCGTAACACCCCTAGGCAAATCAGCTGTGACTTTCCCACCGGGATCGTATTGCATATGTAACATAACCTTACCTGTCATCTGCTTTCCCGCCAACCATTCCCGCCAAACGACATAACCTCACTTTACGTATTGTATACATAGGTACCTTTGTTTATTTAATTAATATATAAAATATGAATGTTATCATAAACTTATATTATGTTAATATTCATCTGAAATATAATTTTTTTTTACTTTTTTTCACATTTTTGGTTTTTATAATAATTAGTTTGCTCCGGTTGATGGCCCGGCGAAGAGACTTCCTAGCCACCTTGTAGGTGAGTTTGGAGGGATGACACATACAACTGATCCGGTTCAAAGGGGAAATTACAATTTCCAGGGAAAGACAGAGAGCGATGATGTTGTTTACTCTGAAAGGAGTTCCTGTTTGTGAAAAATCTATTTTTTGTTGTCCACTCGATAAAAATAAAGAGATTTAAATGGCTGATGAAACACTACAAACTCAATTGCATGACACCTCCTGTTTAAGGTAACATTAAACGTACACCAAAACGCACCTGTCATCAAGAAAAGATTGAGAACATTGTATCTTTTATAAGAAACTATGCAGAAGAGGCTGCGTTGTTCATGCCTGGCAGGCTCGCTTCACAGTACAACATTGTAAAACAGTTTCCATCGTCAGATACTAAAGTTTCTCTTTACAGAACATATAAGGACATTTGTGTAAATAATAATGAAATTTTTGCTGGAAGGACAACATTTCTAAAGATCTGGAGTACATTTTGTTCAGACATCGTTATCATGAAGCCAAAAAGTGATCTATGTGCAACATGCCAAAAAACTATACCTCTCACGCACAGCTTCGTGAACTCAGCGATGAAGATAAAGCAGAGTTTTTTCATAAATTTCAAGAACACTTAGACGAGTTGAATCAGAAAGAAAGGCCTATAAAGATATTATAAAAAAAAACCGTATCAGAGTTTGACCTAAACAAAACTAGGCCTAAGTACATACCTATGTAAATAATATGTAAATTAATAACAACATGTATTAATTTCTTTACATGCTAATATAAGAAACAATTATTTAGGCATTTCAGCCTTTCAGAAATTTGATTAGTATTAAATGTATTTTTTGGTCTATTCAATTGTATGTTTTGTGGACAAATAAATAAAAAATTACTAATTCTTATTTTACCTTTTCAAAATGTGGTAAACAAACTTCCATGTTGCTAGGTAACATTTCTTTATTTAAGAAAAATTCTGAATAATTTGATATAAAATATGTAAGTATTAATGAAAATGTCTCAGTTTTAGCTAAGTTTTAAAATGAAGAAAGTTGAAACGCAATTTACCGAAAACGGAGGTTTTTATTATTTAATAATTAAAAACAACATAACTCTCTTACTTATTAAGATAAAAATATTTTAAAATACCCAAATTGTTCAATAAATGCCCTCTATGCAGAAATGCTAATAGCTCAATTTCAACAATATGTATCATAAGGTCCCTTTTCCTGTGACCCATCACGACTTAATATGATTTATCACACCATCAATAATTTCTTGAGAATGTTTATTTATGGAAGATCGACGGTCCCTTTGATCTGGTTTTGTTGTACCAGAAGTTGACTGCATTTTATTTGCAACTGTTAAAGCAATAAATTTGTTATGTTCATCCAACGTATTTAAAAAAAACAGCCCTTGCAAACTTTAAAAGGTTGACCTTTGATGTTGAAATCTATATAAAGAAACGTTACTTCTCTTCTTTTATTTGAACTTTTTTACCTCTTCCTAGTAGTCTTTGTTTCTTCAACATCTATTGAACTACTAATAAACTGACTCTTCGCTCTCAAGATCCAAGCGCCCAATATTCGTCGAAAATGGTTTTTCGCAACTCATCGTTCAAATTTTTCGAACGCTCCATTCTGCAATCCTTCAGGCCTCTCATTTTCTTTCTTGAACCTCTCTTCCTTTAACTGTTACGTAGTCTTTGCCTTCATGTCTGTTATTTGTTCTTTCTTTTCGTTTTCCTCTAACTCATGGACCTTCTCCTTTTTTCTTTTATTGTTTGGAGGTTGGTCCTCAGGAACATCGTTATCTATATTGTTAGGATTAGGCCTGTCACCAATTGCAACCATGTGTTTGTTCTCAGGAACATCGTTATCTATATTGTTAGGATTAGGTCTATCACCAATTGCAACCATTCGTTGGTTCTCAGGAGCATCGTTATCTATATTGTTAGGATTAGGCCTATCACCAATTGCAACCATTCGTTGGTTCTCAGGAGCATCGTTATCTATATTGTTAGGATTAGGCCTATCACCAATTGCAACCATTCGTTGGTTCTCAGGAGCATCGTTATCTATATTGTTAGGATTAGGCCTATCACCAATTGCAACCATTTGTTGGTTCTCAGGAGCATCGTTATCTATATTGTTAGGATTAGGCCTATCACCAATTGCAACCATTTGTTGGTTCTCAGGAGCATCGTTATCTATATTGTTAGGATTAGGCCTGTCACCAATTGCAACCATTTGTTGGTTCTCAGGAACATCGTTATCTATAATGATAGGATTAGGCCTGTCACCAATTGCAACAATTTGTTTGTTCTCAGGAACATCGTTATCTACCAATACACCAATATCAGACAAATGCTGGATATCAATGTTTTCTTCCATTATCAAAACTGGCAGGCTCTAAACATCAATCGGAGCTGCATCTAAAAAAAAACAACAAAAGAAAATATTATTTTATCACATACATAAAAGTAAAAATCTATAAGATAAACCGCCCAAATTACATTCACCTACCTAATACCGGTCGTCGATCTCCTATTCTTCATCCTTACCTGATAACAAATGAGGGTTGTATTAACAGTGCTTAGTCAAAAACTCTTATATAAAACCAAATTTACTCAGTTGATAACAGTCTTTTGTTTTATGGGAAAATAATAATTAAATATCAATGACCGGTATTAGGTAGGTGTCTGTAATTAGGGCGGGTTGTCTTAGGCCATTGATTTCATTGAAAATGAAACACAAATCAAATCAAATCAAATCATGTTTATTAGCACACAACGTACAGAGGTTACAGATAAATGCACAGGTGCTTCGTCATTCTTCTTATAGCCTAATATTATATAATGTCCTTTCTTAAAATGTATTTAGTAATAATAAATAAAATAGTTGTTTAACATTTGAGGAACTCTTTGAATAGACTAGCCAAAAGGTTTAATAAAAAAGATAATGTCAAGCTTAAAACTAAATAACTGGATTTATAGAATTTAATTATAAATAAAACATAAAAAATGTACAAAACATGTAATTTTAGTCAATAACAAGGTCTTAATTAAAATTTCGCAACAGAAAACGATATATATAATATGTAACATTTAGAAATCAACAAGATTAACATGGAGAAGGAACTTTTTACCCTATAAAATATTACCTATGGAAGTAACAGGACCAGCTTATAACATTTGAGAGTCATTTAGAAAATCGTCAACTTTATAATAGGCCTTTCTGATCAAAATACTCTTAACGTTATCTGCAAATTGTGTTGGACTCATTGCTGTGTTTTTTAAGTTATTTGGAAGTTTATTGAACAATTTAATTCCCATGTAATGAATACTTCTTTCTAAAGATGCCGTAGAATGATGAGGGTATATAAGTAAATTCTGGTTTCTAGTATTGTAATTGTGGCTATTTTTTTCTATAGAGTACCAATTTAAATTATTTTTTACATGACACAGAACCTCAAAAATGTAGATACATGGTACTGTAAGTATTTTTAAACTTTTAAATACTTCTTTACATGAGCTTCCAGGCTGTTTGAGGGTCATGGCTCTTAGGAATTTCTTTTGTACTTTCAATACATTTTTTATTAATTTTGTTGCGCCCCATAATGATATTCCATATTTCACTAGCGGGTAAAAATAGCCATAGTACAAAATAAGTTTTGTTTCCATGCTGGTACAGTGTGCAAGGCAACTCATATTAAAACAAATGCTATTTAATCTCTTACATAATGGTATAATATGTTCATGCCACTTAAGATTTTCATCACATATTACCCCTAATAATTTCACAGACTTCTGATTCATCAAATCATCATTGCCGACTGTAACCTTTATTTCACCCTCTCTATATTGCATACTTCTGAAATGAATTATATTTGACTTGTCTGCATTCAGCAACAGTCCATTTATTCTAAACCAATTTTCTAATTCTTTTATTATTGTCTCTGCTGTAAATTTAATTTTTTCTGTGCTATTGTCTCTAATTAATGCTGTAGTATCATCTGCAAACATTACTATATCTGTCTTTATATTCATTGGAAGATCATTAACATATATTACAAACAAAGCTGGGCCTAAAATTGATCCTTGAGGAACTCCTGACTTTACAGTATCATATTTTGATTCATATTTCATGTTATCTATTATTAAAGAAGTTTTTTGCTTTCTATTAGTTAAGTACGATCTAAACCATTTCAAACTGTACCCTCTGATTCCATGTACTTCTAATTTTTTTAACAGGACATCATGGTCTACACAATCAAATGCCTTTGACAGGTCACAACAAATTGCTGCAGTAGTCTGTGATCTGTCCCATGCCCTGTAAATATTGTCAGTTAGAGAGATGAGTGCTGAGTTGGTGGAGTGAGATTTTCTAAAACCATGTTGACTTTTGGTTATTAATTTATTTTTCTCTAGATATTCCTGTAATTGAACATTTACAGCTTTCTCAAATATTTTTGAAAAGACCGGTAACAGTGAGACTGGACGATAGTTTTCAATCAAATTTTTATCCCCTTTCTTATAAATTGGCCTAACAATTGATATTTTTAGTTTTGATGGAAAATCTCCTGTAAACAGTGACTGATTAATTAATGTGCAGATTGGCATAGCTATATAATCTTTACACTCTTTAATTAAGGTGACAGGAATCTCGTCCCAACCAGTAGCTTTTTTATTTGGTAGTGATTGTATAATCTTTAAAATTTCATGAACATTTACTTCTCTGAATTCAAAAAACAAACTTTCTGGGTTTATCCCTGTTTTGCAACTCTTAACTGCTTTTTCTGGTGAACTTCTAATATTCAGTTTTTTTCTAATGTTGAGATAATGATCATTAAAATAATCTGGAATAACTTTGGGGTCTTTTATTATGGATCCGTCAATTAGTACTTCTGTCATAACGCTCTTTTTCCTTGTATTCATTCCTAGCTCATTCTTAATTACTTTCCAAGATGCTTGACTTTTACACTTCGCTTGTGTGATGTACTTATCATTTGCCCTTCGCTTTGCTGCTCTAACAACTTTTTTGAATATCTGTCTATAAGTTCTGTAATAACTTTGCGCCTCGGCACACCCACTCTCCTTTGCCTCTCTGTGGAGACGCCGTTTGTTTATACTTGAAACTTTGATACCCTCTGTCACCCACTGTATTTCTTTTTTATTTTTTACCCTCCTAGGTCTAGGTGGAAACACTTCATTCATGGTCAATATAAAATTGTTTAAAAAATTGTTGTAATTATCGTTCACACTTTTCCCAAGCTCTACCTTCCATTTCAAGTTTTTTATTTTATTCTTAAATTCAGCTTTTTTACTTGAAGTAAAATATCTTTTAAAGGTTTGTTCTTTCATTTTGGTCTTATCCTTAAATCTGGGTAATGTGGCCCATATGGCACTATGATCAGAAAGACCTATATCTTCAACATGAATTCTCTCTATCTGATGTTTCTCATTAGTAATAATGTTATCAATGCAAGTTCCACTACTAGGTCTTGTCACCTCCATAACATTGACTTTGAATCCATTAAAATGTAAAACATTTAAAAATTCATCAGAAGCCTTACTATCTAATACATTTATATTACAATCAGTAGCTATCAATACATTTAACCTTTTCCTCCCTTTCAACTTATTTAATAAAAACTGCATCTTTTTTAAAAAACTAGCTAATGTGAACTTATATGGTACTCTATATAAAGATACAATTATTGTAGGCTCGACAAAATTTAGAATTTCAATGATGGAACATTCAAAATAAAAATCTTCGTTAAACTTTTTAAGGTCATTTCTAACTATATATTTTATATCTGCATTTTGTTTTAATAAAATTGCTGAACCTCCTCTTGCACCATTCTCCCTAGTATAGTAGTCTGCTAAACAGAAACCATTAATTTTATTTAACAGTTCTATATTTTCTTTAGATAACCAATGTTCATTTAACCCAAAAGGGTTAAATGATTGTATCCTAAGCAACATTAAAAAACAACTGACTTTAACTTGATTTTAATAAGGATGAAATTTTCTTACAGCGAGCAGTTTGAACTGTGATAAGTTGAACTGTTGTAAGAAATGTAAAAAATAACGTAAAATTCATATTACATTTCAATTTCACCATCTTTATTGTGCAGATAAATATGTTTGAAACAATAATAGCTTGTTAAACTAAAAGTTGGAACTAATCTAAACTTAGCTAAGCCAAACTAAGGCTTGGCCTAAAGTATTATTATTTCAAGAAGGCAGTACTATGACCATTGATTCTTACCTTCATACGTCGCTTTCCCCAATTCAGCCAAATACCTGCCCCTTGACATTTCAAAACAGAATAATTGGTAGAAAGCATTAATAAGTAAAAAAAGATAACGTTTAGGCCAAACCCTGAGTATAACCTAATAAACTGGATCACACTTTTCACACATCATTAGGTTAGGCAAAGACCAAAGAACACAGACTCAAATAGTGAACACAGAGTATTAATTTATCTTAACAGCTGTTACTTTACAAGGAGTAAAAATAAAGAAGCCTAGCTAACCTGTGTTCGGGTATTGAAATTTTATGTTTAATCTTAGTAAGCACTATGTACAAAATAATTTAACAAAAATAATATTATGTTGATACATGTAGTCCTCAAAAGGAGTTCAACCAGACTAAACCCAATACCTTTGTTATTTTAACTTCACGATTTAAGTCTGACTTATTCAGACCTTATGTTGTTTAGTTTGATCAAAAGGATTTAAGTCAGTAGTCGAGTAAATATAGGCACTTGAGATAGAACAAATTCCAACAAATGGTTTTTCGACGGTTTTTAGTAGTAATAGGTGTAGAAAGTACCAGGAAAAAAGTCTACCAAAATCGGACAACCGGAAGTCGGGTTTTTCCAAGATGGCCGCCGTGAGGCCCTCAAATCGACAATATGACTGCAAATTCATCGATTCATAGTTCCAGGATTGGCCGATTTCCACGAAAATTGGCAAACACATGTAGAACTTTATTTCCAACCTTAAATATGAAAACTAGGCAGACAAAGTAACCCAAAGATGAATTTTCAGGGTATTATGTGCTTAACAAATAAGTTTTTTTACCTCAAATATATGTTTTTCTAATATTTTGAACAAAGTTTGTTATAATTTCAAATTTATTTTTTCACCATTAGATTCAACACAAAAAACCTAACAATTTAGTATATAAAATCGTTGTTCTGCTTCAATTTGTTACAGAGATATTGAACGTAATAACTTTAGTATGTTTTCTTGCCGAGATAGCTCAATGTTAATCTTATGGAGAATAAGCATAAATATTAATATTATTTTTAATTAAACCTATATAGATAAGACTTTTTGTTCTTCTTCATATTACTGTATCTGTTTTAATATTTTTTTACTAAAA